AAAGGAATAAAAAATATCTGACTTTTAGTCCCAGGGGCATGTTTTAATAACAAGATCATCTAAGTAAATTTAAAATTCATTGATATTTTAAAGAAAAAAATAAAACTTTAAGAAAAGAACAAGACATGAAAAAGAACAGAATATATTTTAAAATACAGTGTCTTTAAAATGTATATTTGCATGTGTACACGTAGACATTAGGGAGAAAAAACTGCATTCTAGATTCAATCAAAGAAAGAATAATTAAAATGAAGGAAAGAGCTGGGGATATCATATAGGACCAGCAAAGAAATAAAAAATATGAGACAGATTTACATGGCATGAAAATATGCAACATATGTCTAAATAATAGATCCAGACAGAGAAAACAGAGAGAATGGTTGAAAATAAGTAATTAAAGTGGAGAATTGAAAATTGTACAGAATTTGTATTTAGATATATATGATGAAGCAGAATAAGAGAAAGAAAGATTGCAAGCAAATGTAAAAGCAGGATAGAGAGAATGCTTGAAGCTATGAGAGAGTACAAATGCATTGCTTACAAAGAAATGGCAATTACTCTTACAGAAAAGCTCTTGCTAATGCTCTGATAAACAGATGCTATCTATATTCTTTTATATAATAAGTCAGAGACTTTGAAAGTCAAAAAATGAAAGTTATATACAAGACAACTGAAAGCTAACACAGTTATCTTTTTTCTTTTTTTAAAGAACTTAACCTTTATTTTTATTTATTTATTTATTTTAATGTGGTACTAAGTCTTGAACCCAGTGCCTCACTGATGCTAGGCAAGCACTCTAAACCGAGCTACAATCACAGCCCTAGCAGTTATCTTAATATCAAAGAAAATAAACATTATGGCTAAATAAAAGAAATTCAGCAAACATTTCACATCATAATGTTAAGTGGAATAATTTCCTCCTAAGGTTCTGAACACATGAATAACTAATAATATTGTCACAATATACAAGAAATATACTTTGTTAAATACAGTAAATGTATCCAGAATAATGCAGCAAAAAATATGGGAATATTAAGAAGTAAGCGAAGCCCCTTTTAAGTTGTTAATAGATCATGTAGATGAAAACTAGTAGAGCTATAAGACAACTACAGAACAAAATAAGTTCTGTTTCAAACATTAGAAAATATAGGTCCAAGCACACACTGAATGTATGTAAATCTTGATATACATGACTACAGAAGAAATATAAATAAATGTCAATTAATTAATATCCCATAAACATGAATTTAATAAATGGAATTAGAAATACACCTAAAAATTAAATACTAAGAATAAATTCCCAAATAATTCACAGTATTAATAGATAAAAATATTTTTATTCTTATTATTATCCAAGAAACTAGTAGAACTAATAAGCAAACTTGGCAATTTTGCAGATATAAAGTGAAAATTCTCATATATACGTATCAAATTGTTGTATATACATATACTGGAATATTAGTTATTAATAAAATAATAAAATACTTATCCTTGTGGTCGCATGCATAAATCACAATTATGCTAAATTAAGAAACTAGACTAAAAAGGAGTGCATACTACATGATTCTATTATACAAGCTCTAGAAAATGCCAACTATTGTATGATAACACAAAGGAAATTAGTGGTTCCCAGAGTATAGGGACTGTGGAGTAGAGAAAAAGGAGGAATGAAGTATTCATAGGACCAAGCACAGCTGGAGATGTCACTCAGTGGTAGAGCACTTTCCTAGCATGCATGAGGCTCAGGTTCAATCCCCAGTACTACTAAAGAAAAAGAGAGAGCCAGAAAGGAGAGAGGGGGGGGAGAGAGAGAGAGAGAGAGAGAGAGAGAGAGAGAGAGAGAGAGAGAGAGAGAGAGACACCAAGGAAAATTTTAGAGAGTGACATATGTTCATTCTCTTGATTGTGTTAATGATTTCAGTGTTGTGTATATACACACCAATACTTAAATTTATACACTTTAAAGTTGTATCATTTATTCTACTTCAGTTTTATCTCAATGAGGTCGCTAAAGAATTAAAATTAATTAATAATGGCAGGTCTATAAATCTTCCTGTGTCAAATTTAATTAAAACATTATTCAGAAATTAATAATTTTAAGAACATAGTAAAATGAGAAAAATGATTAAAAGCCAATGGGCTGACAATCTGTTGAAAAACTTAGAGAAATAAGGAATATAAACCCAAAAGAACAAAAGACAGGATATAAGTTCCAAGAAAATAGAAAGAAAAATTAGAAGGTTAGTTAATACCAAATTTTAATAAAGCTTTATGAAGTGTTAACGATTTCAACCATTCAGGGAAAACATAGTTGAAGAGAAGTTAAAGATATGTATTTTTCATCACGTGTTCTTCTGTGGAACCCTAGAGAGTTTTTTCCTCCCTCTTACCTTAGAGAGCTTTTAGACCATACATAAAGATGCATAGCCACAGATGTATACTTGTACAAATAATGCAACATGGACTATCAAAAAATGGCCAAATATAATTGTCTTTGAATATAAGTGTAAAAATTAAAGATCAATCATGAAAAAGAATATTATATGATAGTCAAAGCTAGCAATGTAGATAGAGCCACACTGATGAATCTTAAAAAATTAATTAATTAATTAAAAAAATAATAAGTAGCTAGGTGTGGTGTCCTGTAGTCTGAACACCTTAGGAGGCTGAGGTAGAATGCTCTCAAGTTCAAAGCCAGCCTCCGGAAATTTGGCCAGATCCTTAGCAACTTAGTGAGACTCTGTTTCAATATAAAAAATAATTTTTAAAAAGGGCTGGGGATGTGGCTCAGCTGTCAAGCACCCCTAGGTTCAATCCCTAGTACAAAAATAATAATAACAACATCAAGTAAAAGAAAAATCAAGGTGCAAAAGGATATGCACAACGAACCTCATGAATCCTATTTGTATTTTGTAGGTGATTAAATCTGTAGCAAATATTCAGAAGTATGGATGGAATGACATTCCCTACGTTAGAGATGATGATTCACAGTGGACAGTAAGAAGGGGAAACTAGCTGAAGTTGTTCTTTTGTTTCTACTTGTTTTTTGTAAATGTATAATATGAATTAAGCCTGACAAAGTGAATACCTAGGGATTACAATATTTTTGTTTTAAATGATTCAAAATTAAAATATTAAATTTTAGAATATTTAAAGGTGTGTATGAATGCATAACTATTAGAATATTCATTGGAACCTTGATTTCTATGTTAAAAGAAATTAGAAGTCATATAAATGCTTAACCATACTGATATTATTCAATAAAAAATTGAACAATTTAATCAATCATGGTATGTTAATAGAGTGGAATGATATGCTTACATTAAAATACTGTGTTTTAATAATACTTAACATTAAAATGTTAAAATAAAGTAACAAAAATAGATTTAAAGGAATAAGTACTATACTTTTCTCTCTTCACAATATACATTTTTATATTTATATCCCCACACACACAATCACACAGAAATAGGCTTGGAAGGAGGGGACCCATGTGACTCACGACAAAGAGCTTTCTCGGGACACAGGACTTTCAGTGCTAAAGCCAGGGACATCTCAGATAACCGAAGGTAGATCACTTTATCTGGAAGATGCTATTCAGATAAAGAAGAGGAGCAAAATAGTTAACTCAAAAATATGGCACTAAATGCAGTTGGATTTTTCCTGCTATGTGTGAGGAGACAATTTGAAAGCTGTGTATGCAAAAAAGCTAGATTCTGGTGTTATCAATTCAGTATGTATAACTGAACTGATCAGAGAACACTGGAACAGGAATGAACCTCTCTAATCTCAACTATAGCTAAAACTTGAAGTTTAAAGCAGTAGTTCTCAATTAATAGCAAATTTTCTATAAAGAAACATGTGCAAACCAGGCGTCATGGTGCACACCTGTAATTCCAGTGGCTCAGGAGGCTGAGGCAGGAGGATAACAAGTTCAAAGCCAGCCTCAGCAAAAGTGAGGCACTAAGCAACTCAGTGAGACCCTGTCTCTAAATAGGGTTGGGCAATCCCCAGTATCCCTGTCCCCACAAAAAGAAAGAAACACATACAAATAGCTTTAGATATTTTTGACTGTCACAATTGAGGGAGATGCTAGTGGCATCTAGTGGGTAGAGGCTAGTGATGTTCCCAAATACCCCAGAAAAATGAGGACAGGGTCTCACAATAAAGAATTACCCAGCCCAAAATGTTAACAGCACCAACATTGACAGACCCTAGTTTAAGGTTGACAGATCCAAGTTTAAAACATTTCCCCACTGATGGCATAACTAGGTATTGACAGTCATTTGTATTGTCTCAACCTCCACAAGACTGTCAGTGCAGCATTCCCGTCACTGTGTGACATGGTAGGGCTGTTCTGTAAATGCCAAGCATGAAAGGGACCTTTCAATTATTTCATATACACATACTTCTTCCCATATACATTTATACTTACCAGCTCTCAGTTCTACTTCTTCACATTTTTGTGTCACTCTCCTGGGTAAATCCATTCTAGACATATATTATCTTTAAAAACATAACCATACATCAAGTGCAAAAAAATGAAATCGTCATCTAAAACACAAATTGACTGCAATTACAGCTTCATCTGGTCCCTTGGTATATATCTGTAATGCTGATTTAGTACTTCCGATAAGTGTTTGCCCAAATTCATCTCTTTAGCAGCATTAGAAATAATGGTCACAAGAAATGAGTCTTCTAGTTGCAGTAACTATAGTCAGAGAGCATTTTAAATCAAATTAATTGCTAGGATATTTGTAATGTCCAAACATTTGATTGATGTGTTTCTCTGCTGTGTGCCACAGAGTCATGCCATTAAGCACGGTTGTTTTCTGTTTTCTGAAACTGCAATTAATATGGAGAAGTAATTAAGCAGCTGTTCGAAGCTGTCCAATGCTAGCTGTTCCATTGCTATAAACTGTTGTCCCTCTGCAGATCTTTATCTATACATAGGTGTATTTAGGCTTTGTGAAAACAATTTGTCTTAATATCTCAATTACCTTTCTTGTAAGAGAGGAAGCATTGTTGTTTCTTCTTATGAGAATAAGCTGGAGGGAGTTCAAGAATATGACCTTGAAGTGCTCTTCTTCATGCATCAAGACTCAGTGCATGCGTAGATAGGTATGCTGAGATGGTAATCAAGGTAGCTGCTTCTGTCTTCCCTGACAGGTAGGTGCTGTTACACAAATCAAGCACATCAAAGATACCATAGGGGATATACGAAAGGAAATGAGGCTTTAAGGAGGTATTTTAAAAGGTATTTTTAATTTAGCAGTCTGCCGACTATGGAGTCATTTTGCTTCTAAAGAGCAAAGAATGGTCACTATCAACCAGTTATCTTCCAAAAAATAAGTTGAAAAAAGTCCATTCCATGACAGACACTTGGTTTTGAAAACAATTTTGTTTTTGAAAAATAAAGAAATATTTTACAATGAAAACTTCTTTATACTATCAGTAAGCTTGCTCTATTCAGATACTACATGATGGGAAAACATTCCAAGGCCTGCTGGAATGTAGGACAGACATGCAACTTTGTGAGTGGATAATAAAAAACACTTGGCTTAAGTAATAGAGAAAGTAATGAGAAAACAGAAACTTATGGGTTTAGCAAAACAAAAACCTTTAATCTTATCTAGATACTCAGAAATTATTTGGCACAAAGTCAAGTTAATCATTCTGTTTGCAGGAAGATTATGTTTTAAGCATAAAAGAATTTTTCCCTGTTAATAAAACGCAAGATAAGGGAACAATCTTTCCTTTGTGCTGCAGTGGAATGATTGGAATAAGGAAATGTGTATACCTACTAAAAAAGAATGTGGCTTTTATTTTCTAAGAGTAACAAAAGTATGCCCATAGCTTTCCTAAAGGTTGTTTTACTTGATGACTTCAGATAAAAATAACTTGAATATGGCCTGAGGTTCTGGTAGACTTTCCTCCTGTCCTCCTGTTGTGAAATCTCATGAGAAAGTGCAAACTACAATGAGTATTAAGTTTGTTCTCACTTTGCGATTGTAGAATTCTAATAGCTGACTTCAGAACCATTCACTACCTTCATAAGGCAGGTACTTGTTCTGTCAACAAACATTCAAAATAGACACAGCATACATACAAATACAAACTAACTTATTTGCAGTAGTGCAAACTTTCTACCCCCCAAAATCCTGCTTTTATTTTTAAGCAATTTATAAAAACATTGTTGTACCTATGTGGAATGAGTGGCTGATTGATACAAATTTTATATTTTCAAATTACCTGGATGATTTCAAGTTTTTGAAAATTGGTTATTCATGTCCAGTCTTTGCTTTAGTCAGATTGAACATTAGGACCATTCACGGATGAAGAAACTGAGGTCCAAAGTTATTGCATGTTTTCCATGAAACTGAAAATGCCACTGTCATTGGAGGAGGACGATGTCATTCAGAGCTACTATAATTTTTCATCCCACAATGGAGGGATCTAAAAAAAATTATAATAAGCATCAATATATATGATATCAATAATAAAAGTGGCAAAAGAATATGACCAACAGATAGTTTTGTTTTTAAAATAACTATAAAATATTCAATGAAACAGAGAAAACATCAGAAATTTTGGGAGAGAATTAAAATCCATTCTACAATGGCAGTTACAGAACTTTACTGTCCAATACAGCAGCTATTAGCCACTTTATAGTTTTCAAATTTAAATTAATTCAAGTTAAGAAAAATTTAAGTCAGTTCCTGAATCTCATTAGACACATTTCAAGAGTTCAATCACATTGGATGTTTGGTAGCTACCACACTTAAAAAGTACAGATTATAGTACATTTGCATCACCCCAGAATTTCTATTGGACAGTAGTATTACTCAAACAGAAATTATAACTGAAAGCAACAAATGGATTTAATGACACACTAAATATAGCAGAAGAGCATATGAGTAAGCTAGAAAAGAAGTAAACAAATCCAAATCTCAAATATCAGAGTGAAAAGATCAATAGAATCTCTCCCCCCAAAATTGACCCCTATAGTAGAGAACATTATTTTAAAAACAAACAAGCCACAATAGTTTAAAGTCTCTAGAATTTTACTAAGAACACACAGAAAGTAGAGAAACATTAACTTAAGAAAATCTATTAAGTCTTAGTAGGGAGAATAAGGGTCAGAGGTTGCATGCTTGCAGACAAACCAAGAAGATAAGAATAAACCTGCTGCCAGTATTTGCTAGAAGAACTGAGGGATGATATTGGCAGAGGGGAGCCCCCCGTTCTCCAGCTTCAGCCCCTGCAGAGTGGTACAGCACTTCAGTCCAGTGGAAGGGAAAATGTGTAAGGGGGTGGTTTTATCTAGAACAGAGCACTAAGAATTTCATGATAAAGATTTTGTTCAAGGATGTGGCTTTTGAGATTGATCAGAGGGCAATCATCCAAGCTCCTTCATGAACATGTAGGAAAAAAGTGCAAGCTTCTAGAACTGTGAGAATAGTCTTCACACTGAGCATACAAATTCAGTGGTAAAGAAGAAAACTGTAACTGACTAAGAATAACTAAAGCGCAACCTTTGACCACAGATGCTTATGCTGATGCAGGAATGATAGACACTAAAGGAAAAACAGGGGGAAAAAATCTATCAAGGACATTAGACACTTCAGAGGGAATTACAATTCACAAAATTAGTTAAAACAAATCATTAAATAAATGATCCAATGTCCGAGCAAAAAGCAATAACCTCACTCTTGGTGTAATCAGTAATCAGTGAAACAGTGAGTATAATCAGTAAAAATAGTAAGACTATTAATAATTATAATAACAATAATAGTAGCAACAACAAAAATAAAAAGCAATAAAGTTGCATTTAAGCAGAATCAATTATTAGATTTAGCAAAGATTTGAAATGAGCAATGGCCACTATGTTCAAAGAACTAAAGGAAACTATCTCTAAACAATTAACAGAAGGTTTCTGGATTTAGCACAGTGGCATGATGCTTGATTAGCATGCATAAAGCCCTAAGTTCAGTCCTTGGCCCTGAAAAAACAACAACATAATAAAAGGATTATATGTGAAAATTAATTGGGTAGGCCCTGAAAAAAAAAAAAAAAAAGGAAGGAAGGGAGGAGGGAAGGAAGGACATTTTTAAAAAGCAGATCTACACCTACATATACCATGTTCAAAACTTTGAAAGAGAGAAAATTCAGAAAGCAATAAGCCAAAAGTGACTCATCTCCTACATAAAGCCCCAATGTAATTTACAGCTGACTTCTTATTTTAAACAATAGAAGCCAGAAGGCAATGGGGTGTCACATTCAAAGACGTGAAAGTAAAAATGTGTCAACCAAAATTTTAGATTGAATACAACTATTCAAAAATGAAAGGTGAACTAAAGACCTTGCAAAACAAGCGAATTACCCTAGGTTATATTGCTAAGTGAACTTCCTTGCAAGAAAAATGAAAGAAAATTTTCAGGTTGAAATCAAATAATAATAACTAGAATTTTTTTGAATCAAGAAGAAGAAGAACAACAACAATAATCGGCCAATAATGGTAATTAAATTGGTAGTCATAAAATATAATATAGTTACATATCTCTTAACTCATATAAATAGGAACTTCTGGTTTTAACTTCAATATGCAAAGAGCTTGGAATTTATGATACCATTTTATAATAAAAAGTGAACAAATGAAAAAAGACTTATTTTGGCTAACAGAGAAATTAGTTTACAAGGCAAGCCACCACCTTAAAATTGGCAGAATCTCAGCAGAGATCTGTTCCTTAAAACAGAAGCTACTGCAGCCATAACCTGATCTGTCCTGCAATAAATGTTAAAAAATACACTAGGGGAAGGAAAATTATGTAGGTTGCAAACTCAGATTGATATTAAAAAAGGAAGAGCACTGAATAAAAGTATATAAATGTTGATTAATTTTATTTTTCATAATCTCAATTGATTTGTAAGATAACTATTTAATAAATAACAGTGAAAAGGATTAATAACATATAGGAAATTGAATTAATTATAGCTAGGCATAAACAATGACAGGGAAAACTTGGTAATACTATATATGGTAGTAGTATACTGAGGAGAATTATATCTTGACTATTATTATACAGAGGTGAATTATTCAATTATTCAAGAAGACATAATAATTCTGGACATAGAAAAAATGTTGAAAGAAAGAATAAATTTGGAGGGTCACACTTTCCTTTTCCAAAACTTAATATAAAGCTGGAGTAATGGAGAAAGTATGGAAGAAGAATAGATTAATTGATAAAAGGAAAAATTTGATAGTTAGTAATAGCCCATGTTCATGGTCAAAAAATATAAGGAATCCAAGTTAATTCAATGAGAGAAAAAGATGAGACTTTACATCAAATGGTGCAGGACAGGTGGATCTCCATAGGCACGTGATGGAAGCTAAACCTCTACCTCTTAATAGTATTTAAAAAAATCATTGAAAAGTGTTCATAGACATACATGGAAGGAGCCCGAGAAAAGACAAAAACTAAGAGTAAATCTTTGTAATTTTAGAGGAGGCTTAATTTCTTAAATGACATCAAAGGCAAAAGCTATAAAATAAAATGTAGGTTAACTGGACTTCATTAAAATGTGAAACTTTGTGCTTCGTAAGACGCCAATTAGAAAGACTTATTTTCAGAATATATATACAATGACAACAACAACCAAAAAATCCAAATAACCCAATTTTAATATGGTCAAAGAATTTGAATAATCATTTTAATACATGTATTGTTCTATTTATGAAATGTTCCATGTATAAAATGTCCATTAAAACTAAACGTGTAGAAATAAAAAGTTGACTAGTAGTTGTCAAGGGCCAGGAGCAGGAGGGAATGGAGAATCACTGATAATGGGTATTGAGGTTTCATTTTTTAAGTAATTAAAAGCTCTAAACTTAAATTCTGGTGATGCTTGCACAAGTTTGTAAATAAACTAACGTTCACTAATTCCTTTGCTTAATCTTTGTTTTTGGATATTTCTTTACCTGGTTCACTCTTATTCTTATTGAAAAAAAAATCACTTTTATATTTCCTTTAATGCAGGTCTATTGATGATAATGTTTCTGCCTTTATTAATTTAAATATATATTTTCTTATTCTTGGGGAGTCTAGAGTAAAAAATTAGGTTTATGGTTAATTTATCAAAACTTTGAATCCTATATATCCCATTGTTACTGTTAAGAATTCTGTTGCCAGCTGGGTATGGTATCACATGCCTGTAATCCTAGCAATTTGGGAGGCTTAGGCAGGAGGATTACATGTTTGAGACCAGCTTCATCAATTTAGCAAGGCTCCACACACATAGTGAGATCCTGTCTCAAAATTTAAAAAATAAAATAAAAAGTTTGAAAATGTGGCTCAACGGTTATGCACCCCTAGATTCAATCCACAGTACCAAAAAAAAAAAAAAACCAATTATGTTGTCAACATTTTTTTTTCCTTGTAGGTTATCTGTCTTTCTCTCTTGTTGCTATAAAAAGATTGTCCTAAGGTTTTATTTTGAGGAACTTAGATATATGTGCCATTTATTTAAGTGGCTTACTATACATAATATTCATCAATTTTTGGTTTAATTTATCTACTATGATCATTTTCCAAAAAAAGGAATTTGTAGATAATACAAGGAACATTGATCCCGAGACAGAAGTGGACATTGATATCCATCCAGGAACCTGAAATATCATCAGGACCCCACCCATAGATCCCAATAAATTGGGAACATAGGAGGGAAATCTTAAGTGAGTCTTAAATATGGTAAGAGAAGCTAAAAGTGCTTCCTTAAAGTAAAAGGTGGGAGATAAATGTCAGTTGTAATTATGAATGCAGTTACATCGCTGAAGTAGGAGTTTATCATCCGTTTTCTAGGTTTCTTCCAAGGAAGATCAGCCCTCTAGAACCTTTAAGGAACGGCTCCTCAAATGAGTAGGGAGTGCGTTGGTACAGCAGAAGCAGTGGAATGCTGTTGCCACTCTGTAGTGCAACTCTCTGGCCTTTCAAAATTTATCATCTTGTTACAAGAAATACATTTAGAAAGTCAACTTCCAGTTTCAGCATCTTCATAATCTGCCTTAGCTTGCAGGTTGAGGCCTTGAACTTCCTGAATCACTCAGACACACAATCGAGCATGAAAGAGTTACTAGTACTGGTCATTTCTGCCCAACATAGGATTCCTCTGAGAAAGGACCTTTGCTCCAAAGCTCCCTGGCAGTACAGCTGGGGCTTATCCCTGTTTGTTTCATGGTCCAAGGCCCTTCCTATTTACTTCACCCTTGTTTCTTTCCTACCAATTTTTGTTGTTCGTCACTTTATCTTTCACAGAAAGTTGACACAAATAAAGCAGATTCACCCTTAATTCTATTTCAAGGCCTATTTTCCAAGGGTTCTACTAGAGGGCCAAACTCCAGAATATATTGCAACAATTTTTGTTAAAGATTGTTCAATTGAAGACTTTTTCTTTGTATC